CCGCTAGACCTAGTTTGCTGAAGAATCTCCAAACTGATTTCCACAACGGTTTCACCAGTCTGCATTCTCCACAGCCTCACCAGCATTTGTTATTGGTTGATTTCTTAATGATAACCATTCTTACTGGGGTGAGATGAAATCTCAATATTGTTCTAATTTGCATTTCTCAAATGACTAATGATGATGAAAATTTTGTCATGTATTTATTTGCCATTTGTATTTCTTTATCTGAGAAGTGTGTATTCATCTCAGATACCCATTTTTGGATTGGGTCTTTGAATTTGGGGGGGGGGCTGATGTTTTAAAATTCTTTATATGTTCTAAATAGAAGACCTTTGTCTGAGGGATAGTCAGCTAAAATTTTTTCCCAGTTTGTGGGTTTTCTTTTTACTCTGCTGGTGATTTCTTTAGATGGGCAAAAACTTTTCAGTAGAATGAAATCCCAGTTGTTAATTCTTTGAAGTATTTCCTGTGTGGTTTGGTTTTTATTCATGAACTCTCTGCCTACCCCTATGTCTTCAAGATTTTTTACCTAGTTTCTCTTCCAATAGATTTAGTGCTTCTGTTTTAATATTGAGATCTGTGATCCATTTTGACTTGAGTTTGGTGCATGGTGATAGACTTGGTTCTATTTTCAGTCTTCAGCAAATGGCAAGAGAATTTTTCCAGCACTATTTATTAAAGAGGCTGTCTTTCTTCCAGTGACTTTGTTGGGCCCCTTTGTTAAATATTAGGTGGCTGAGTGTGTTTGTGGTTGGGGCTGTTTCTTCCAGTCTGTTCCATTGATCCTCAGGTCTGTTTTTTAGCCAGTACCAGGTTGATTTTATGACAGTAGCTTTGTAGTATAATTTCAGGTCAGGGATTGTGATTCCACCTGACTTGTCTTTGTTGCCCAGGATTGCTTTTGCTATTCTGGGTCTCTTCTGTTCCAGATGCATTTAAGGAATGTTTTCTTGAGGTGTGTGAGGTATGCTAATGGTATTTTAGAGGAAATTGCATTGAATCTGTACACCAACTTTGGTAGTATGGCCATTTTCACAATGTTGGTTCTTCCTATCCATGAGCAAGGAATATCTTTCCATTTACTGAAATCCACTTTGATCTCTTTTTTCAGAGTACTGTAATTTTCATTGAATAGATCTTTTACTTCTTTTGTTGGATTGATTCCTAAATATTTCAATTTCTTGGATGCTATTGTGAGAGGTATGATTTCCCTAATTTCTCTGTCAGTGTGCTTAGTTGTTGTGTATAGGAATGCTACTGATTTTTGTGTGCTGACTTTGTATCCAGCTACATTGCTGAATTTGTTGATTAATTCAAGGAGTCTTCTTGTGGAGTTTTTGGGGTCTTCCATGTAAAGTATCATGGCATCTGCAAATAGTGATAATTTTACTTCTTCCTTTCCTATCCTTATTCCTTTTATTTCTCTCTCTTGTCTAATTGCTCTGGCTAATGGTTCCAGAACTATATTGAACAGGAGTGACAGCAGACATCCTTGTCTTGTCCCTGATTTTAAAGTAAAAGCTTTCAGTTTTTGTCTATTTAGTATGATGTTGGCTGTTGGTTTCTTATAGATGGCTTTGATCAGATTGAGGTAAAGACCTATTCCTATTTTCTGTAGAGTTTCTATCATGAATGCGGGTTGGACTTTGTTGAAAGCTTTTTCTGCATCTTTTGAGATGATCATGTGATTTTTGTCTCTGGCTCTATTGATATCGTGTATAACATTTATCGATTTGTGAATATTGAACCATACCTGCATTCCTGGAATGAATCCAACTTGGTCGTGATGTATGATTTTCTTGATAATTTGCTGCATTCTATTTGCCAGTATCTTATTGAGTATCTTTGCATCTCTAATCATTAGGGAGACTGGTCTGTAGTTCTCTTTCTTGGTTGAGTCTTTCTATGGTTTTGGTATCAGTATACTTGCCTCCAGAAATGAGTTAGGGAGAATTGTTTCCTTTTCAGTTTCTGATAGATTTAATCAAAAGACAAAGGACATTTTAAACAAAATAAAGAGTTCGAGGAGTGTTGGTATTACATCTTCTCTGAATTTCTTATAAAATTCTGCTAGGAATCCATCAAGGTCTGGGCTTTTCTTTGTTGCTAAGTTTTAATTATATTTTCAATCTCATTAATTGATACTGGGTTGTTCAGGATTTTTATATCTTCTCGATTCAACTTTGGTAATTCATACATATGGTCAGAGCCTAGGGTGTCCGGAGGCAAGGGGAAAAGCAGTGGTGATGTGGAGGGGACAGCTAGGAAGCACAGAGCAACAACCATGGAAATAAAAGTAAAAATAACTGAGAGATCGGAACGAAGTGAAAAGATGGTAGACATCACTTAATCTTATAACATGAATCGTTCCACCATTGCCATAATTATAAAGAACAAAGACAAGCTACCATGTGAATTTTTAAAAGGTTCCACACAGTATATTTGTGTCAAAAGTGTATCTAAGACTCACTTTGTTGGATTACGAGCAAGTCCGATTTACAAAGGACAGAACTTTCTGGTAAGTCAAAGACTTACTATAATAATAAAGGACAATATAAAAAATTCTTTTGAAAATATTTGTGTACTATTTGGAAGAGAAGCATTAAAAGCTTTTGACCTCAATTATGTTTATTTCTTTTTCTGAAGCTTCCCTATAGTTCTCCTGTAAATGTGGCTTTTGAAAATTAACCAAATATATACATCCTTGCATTTTGCCACTTTCTTTTTTGCATGTTAAAACGAATGCTGGGATCTAATGTGGGCACCTGCACTTAGTAGGCAAGTGCTCTGCCACCCCCAGGCCTTTATAGATTCACACATACCACGTGCTTTCATTTTAAGTATGTCCCAAAGACTCATGTGTTGAAGGTTGGTCATCAGCCTTTAGTGCTACCTATGGAAGAAAGTTAGAGTGTGTCCTTGAAGGGAACAAAGGGACTCTAGCCCTTTCCTCTCTTATTTTGCTTCTCAACCATTATGTCCTGAACAGGTTTGCTTTGCCACATGCTTCTGACATGATGTGGTGCCTCACCACAAGCCCCAAAACTGCAAGGCCAACCAACCATGGACCGAAAGCTCCAAAAGTGGGAGTCAAAATAAACTTTTTTTCCTTGAAGTTGACTTTCTTAGGTATTTTCTCACAGTAACAGAAGACTGAGGAACACATATAGTATCATTATGTGGGTCTATTTACAATTGTCCTGTGAGAAAAAGAAAGACCCCTGGAGGGGAAGAAGTTGGAAAGGGGCCTTTAAAAACTGTACCAAAGGATACCTACCAGAATCTTTTCAGTGGTTCATAAAATGTGGGTGCACCCATAAGCAGCTGCAATGCTTCCCCACGCCCCCACAGAAAAGGTGTGCTATTGTAGCAACTTTTGAGAAGAGGAACTGTGCATTAAAGTAATTATAGTACTGTATGTACTTGAATTTTGTATTTTAAACACTGCCACTTTGCTAAAAGTAGATTTAGGGACCATTATAAATACTGGTATGTTCTCAGTGAGTGGTCCTGGCTGCATTATTTATGGCAGGAACTTTCCTGGATCAGAACTCACATTTGGTGCAATTTGTAGTTTGAACCTGTCATGCATAAAACCTTGATTTTGTTTTCAATTTTGAAGGGAAAAATTACTCAAATTGAAATTTAGAGAGAAAGCACCCAAAGCCTTTTGACTAAATCTCTCAGAAGAGATAGCTGTGGGTTGTTTAGCATTTAATTGTAAATTTTGATTTCTGTTGACCTTGATGACAGGTTTATGTTTGAAAGATCTAACTTCCTGAAGTGTTTTTAAGGGTGTGGACCTTTTTGATTAAAAATATTCTCACAAAATTTTCTAGACATCTTTTTAAAGGATCTTAAAATTAATTTAAGAAGACACTGTAGCAAAAGGCAGTTATTAGAGGGAATGTTTCAAAGGAAATATAAAAAAGGACGTGTAATGAACCTGAAAGATAGAATTGTTCTTATAAAAGGAAAAAAAGTTTTCTCAGGATTAAGTTTGCTTTTTAAATCTTCGAGATGCTATGGGGTATTTGTAATGTTAAATTGTTAACGAAACACTTTATATCAAGGTAGGAGAATCTTTTTTGTAGCAAAAGTCATACTAATATATAGATTTGTATGTGGAAAAAAATTTAAACTATATATGCACATATATATAACATGAAGTAAGATTGTCCTTACACTCATTTTTTGGAGATAAAAATATGTCCATGTTGGGATTTACACCATGTAAGACCTCTTTTCCATACATATACAAATTTATAAGTAACTGTCTATGCACACAACTACATTTAAGTAACAATGTGGCCAGGCTGAATCTATTCCCCAGCTACACCTCTCTTTTTGTTTCATTTTGTAAGAGGAGATTTACTAAGTTATACTTTATGCAGGAGAGTTCATCTTCTCTATGTGTACAGTTCAAGTAGCTTTGGCCAGTGTAGAGACTTGCATTACCACCATCACAATCAAGATAGAGAATATTCCCATAAACTCAGCATTCCCTGCAATGGCAGATGTCTAGAAATTATGCATATAAGCATTTTAGCTGTATCTTTTCATTTTCAAAACATATTAGAGAAGAGCCCTGAGACTAAAACACTTTCTTAAACTTTTTAAGTTGATATGACTAAGTTAGATTATATACTGCCAGCTAAAAGTATTATAAAATAAATAAAGCAGGTAAAGCAAACTGAACAAGATATAACACAGCTATTTTTGTGACTTATGATCCTCTTATCCACACTGAAAAATGATGCTATAATTTTAGTAAATATTATCTTGGTATTCAGTATGAAAGATTTCCTTAGGCTTGTAATTATTTCCTTACAGGAATCTATTGATTTTTGATTCTGTGATATTTCTGGTGCAGTACTGGATAAGAGGAAAACCTTTCCAGTTTATTTTATGGATAACTTTTGATCTTTCTAAGCATTTAAAATACATTTTATCTGCATGGGTTTAGATATTATAGTAGTAGTACACTGCAAGAATAATTCTGATAAAAACATAGTCATAGTCAGTTTTATTATAACTCTACATTACTTGTCACCTGATCCTACTATAGGAATGACATCTTTGGTGACATGATCACTTTATTCTTGCATTTCTGTTGAGTCACAAGCTGCTTTAAGTTTCATCTTTGTGATTATCTGGAAATCTGAAATAAAATAAATTATAAAACTGACTTTTATATTGCTCTAGAAAGTTAAACACTTTGAAATATATTTTGCTTTTTATAATTTTCACACATGAAGATGAAAAATAGTTAAATTATGTTTCATTTAAAAGTAAATTTGTGATTTTTTTTAAAAGTAGTGTTTAGTATTGGCTTAACAAGTGTCAGATAAAGCTACTCTTCTTGTTGAAGAGTAAAATTATAATTAGTTCTTACACAATGTGGGTACTTAATAGAAAGCTTTTACTCGCTTTATTATACCTGTTGGGTTTTTCCAAATGTTCTGAATTTTGAGATATATTTTCTTCTGTGGATCTTCTAGATGCTCCTAAAAAAAGATACATAAGTTTAATCATTTACCATGAATGCTGTTTATGGTTATTTTGAGCTTGAATCTGGGAATGTCTTTTCAGGGATTATCATGCTTGCATGTACAACACGATAAAGGTGTGTGTATCAGCAAGGCAAATTTTATTGTTTAAGGATGACCAAAGCAACATCTCTCATTCCATACATTCTTCTGCAGAGTGACCTTGTTAACCCATCATGAAGAAGCAGAATGTAATTCCTCTCCTCTTGAAATTGGGATTCATGTGGGGCTTTTGGTATCAACAGAAAATGGAGAAAATGACTTGTTTTTTTTTTTTTTGTTTTGTTTTTTCTCCGGTACCGGGAACCGAACTCACGACCTTGCGCTTGCCAGGCAGGCGCTTTGCCGCTGAGCTAAATCCCCAGCCCCGAGAAAATGACTTGTAACATGACTTCCAGCTTCTGCCTGGTTGTCTTAGGAGGTTTGTTTTGGAGGAAGCAAGTCACCATACAAGAGGTCCTACCGCCTGAGTCAGCCATGCTGGATGGCACAGCAGGTGCTCCAGCGAGAGTCCCAGGTGAGCCTCGTCTTTTACCCACCCCCACCAGTCTCAGGTACCACTTAGTCAGCTCAACTGATGTCCAGCCAAGCTCTGTCTGAATTTCTAAACCACGGAATTCTTGTGATATAAGGAAACAACAACTACAAAGGTCACTTTGTAATTGGAAAGGACAACTTTGTCATCAATAAGATAGCATATTAAAATAATAGTCATAATACTAATTTAGAACAATGTAAAGTACTCAGATAATGAAGTCAAATGTGGAAAATTTATATATAGATATATATATCTTTATATAGAATAAAGATGTATAAAGAGACATGTTAATTAGTTACTTAACTTTCATGGAATTCACTGGGACAAATCCGGAAAGATCCTGCATCCCTGCTTACAACAGTCCCCAGTTTTTACATACCCCCTCTCACTTCCTATATTTTCTTTGGAATATAGAAAATTACAGATTTGGACTATTATCAGTAAAAGACCTATATCTTCACCCCAGTTTCTGTAGTTCATTTTACTTTCTTGTTCTAACTGGTATACGGCCTTCCTGCGGAAACACGACTAGCCCAGAGATGCTTTTTGTTTTTATTTTTCTCTGTCTTCTTACTACTGGATTTAGAAATGGTAGATATCACTCTCTTCCCACTGTTATTCAGGATATTTGTCCGTCTTTCCCTTAGAACTCATGTCACCAGGTTATAAATCAGCCATTCATGCTTATTGTGATCTATTTACAACTGGACTCATTCTCAATTGCATTTATCTTTGGCTTATTGTAATTGTACCACTTTCTAAATGTAGTGATTTCAATGCATCTCAGTTCCTTAAGCTTCTCCTGTCTTAAATCTTGTTTCTTCATTCTACCTCAGCCATTAGCTTCCTGGTCATACTTAGACCTTGTCGGTACCAGTAAATACAAGCCCTTCTCTATTTCAGTTTCCTGCATCAACTACTCAGCTGCCACCTTCTCTGTTTTGATATTACTCTCTCTGGTACCCCAACACAATAGGAAAACATACCTCCCTGTGGAGGTCGTTGGGACCTCCAGTCCTACCACCTTTTAAATGTTCTTCCACACATTTTGACATCTTCTCTGTTGTCTTCATACAATTTGAACTTCATGTTCACTCCTTTGCATGTATGTTCACTTCTTTACTCTTTTCACACTTCATCATAGTCACTTGAAAGGCCTGTAACCTTAACTAATTCCAACTGTTTGCCTGTTCTTCACCTGCACCATGTAGCTTGACATGGATGGAGAAGACACAACGAGCAGAGAAGCTTCGTTTTAAGTTCATGGGAATAAACATTAGGTGCACTCTTAATGCTTTCAGTCCATCCTACTGAACATTCGGGTTCATTCATTCATTCTTTCACTCTCATAGAGCGCTGTTTTTCACTTTCTTTTCTTGGACTACCAGCATTCCTCTGCATCTTCCCTCTCAGGTAATGATTTATTTTATTTCATAAATGTAATAGACATAGGAAAAAATTCGAAAAACTCTATGATGCCGGCCATGGTGGCACACACCTGTAATCCCAGCACTTGGGAGGCTGAGGGAGGAGGATCGTTGCAGGTTCGAGACCAGCCTGGGTTACAAAGTGAGCTCAAGGCCAGCCTGAACTGCATAGCGAGGCTCTGTCTCAAAAACAGACAAAACAAAACAAAACAAAACTCGATGGCAAGAACTCTATGCTTTTGTTCTGAATACCATGCTTCCATTGTGCCCTTATGGATGAGCTGTCTACACTCCAGTCTAAAGTGGTATCCTTCACTTCCATTTCACTGCCTTACTTCCTGCCTGCCCACACCAGACATAGCTCTAGGAATTCTTTCCACCTCTCACAGAAGTGGAGATTTTGCTCTCTATTAGATCTTTTCCACCAACATATAAATATTTAACTGAGGTCATGTGACTAAGTTCTCACCAATGGATGCAGGCAGAGTTAGGTGTGCTGTATGGTATGCTGCTCATGACACTGGGCATTAATTCCTCTTTGAGTTTTCATTTTTTTTCAACTTAGAGCATGAAACAGTTACCTTATCATTCAGATTCTACCATGCTTAGTATTTCACTTAATTAATATATTTTATTGTTCTTTTTGATAAAGAACTATCTTCAGCTTCTCAGATTAATATTTTTCCTTGAATCACAATATATAGACCACTCCTAATACCCTAATGCCCATTTTATACGTGCCAATGTCTTGAAATCAGCATTCCCTTTGGCTTAGAAGAATGTAACTGGATGTACAAATTTTTCCTTGATTGTATAAGGAATTTTTCCTTGATTGTATAAGTTTGAAATTGTGATTGGTTGGTCTCAGACAACTGGTTGACTTTCATTACCCAGATGTTGAGGAAAAGTGATTTTATTGTAGAGTATTTCCTTAAGTAGACTGATTAAGCAGAAAAGCTTTATATACAACTATTTTATTCCATGTGAGCTATAACTACTAGTTTAGATTGAAAGCATTTACACACTCTGTTCTAGGAAATCTTAGCAATGATTAATTTACAAGAATAAGTATTTAGACTTGACATCCAGGTGCTCTGATGCTTCTATTTATTTACAATGAAGTGAGCCCCATAGGGTTTTTGACTCTGGATTCTCTTTTTGCAGAAGCACTCTTTTTGATTCCAAAGCTAGGTTTTGTGTTGTGGGCCTAATTTAGGGTGTGATTTGAATAATGTGTGATCTGTAGGACTTCAAGGAAGCTATAAAATAGGGACAAATGCTGTTCTCAAAGAGGGGCTGTTGGCAACCAAGAAGTCAAAGTGTGATACTTGTTTCTACTGTGAACCTTTTCAACAGAAATGGGCACCTCTCTGCTGCTAACAGTGAAGACATTCTCAGATGCTAAATCCTCTTAAGTGATCAACAACAGGATCTTATTCATACTATACATTAGTCTGTACTGCAATAGAATAAGCCAGCTAATACTGATTATAGTAAGCTTACTATCTCATCCTTTTATTTGAAAAACAATGGCATATAATTTTTTATTTATTATTTTATTTTTAAAAATTTTTTATTGGTGCTGGGAATTGAACTCAGGACCTTGCACTTGCCAGGCAGGCCTTTGTGCCACTGAGCTATATCCCCAGCCTATAATTTTTACATAATGTAGTATTATATACAAATAAGATTTTAAACTTATTGTCTGTAGATGAGTATGAATTGAAATGGAGGAGATACTCTTCGGCAGCTCAGTGACTGGAAAGGTGAATGGATTTTTATAATTTTATCATGCAAAACCTTTTTAGTGTCCTTATTGTAGAAAAGGGTAAATAATAACTCATACATAAAGGTTGTGTCAGAGTTTATAGACTAGACCCCTGGTAATGGATTCAACCTTTCCACAACAAATCAAAAGTATTGTTGTATGCTCACATGAATATACAGTAGTCATTACCTTAAATTTAAAACTCACTATAAGCAGCCAACACAGAGAGCAGGATATGAAGGCTGTATTGTATCAGTGTGGTCTGCAGAGAATTTCTTCATATGGTTTTTGCCTTGTTGAAATATGTGTCTCAGTTCAAAGCTAAAGGGATTACTTTTGAATAGTCATCACAGAGGTTGATTACATTCGTATATCATATTTAGCTGGACCCTGCAGGCTATTATTCCATTAGCTATGCTGGTCTGGCCATTGTCAAAAAGTTGATCACCTAATGTTAAAAGACTGTGGTTTCTGTTGACCTTATCAAAATGTCTCAAAAGATTTTGTTAAAAAATAAAACTCAGATTATATTTTATGAAGCTGATTAAGAGTCAATACTGTGTATAAAAACCGTCATACCTTATGTGTGATCTTAGCATTATGGCTTTATCAACAATGAGAGGATATTTTCCTTTTGTGTTTCAGCACATTTTACTTAAAGTCACAGATTCAATGTTAGAAATAGTTCTTCTTTCTGATGACAAAAAGTCTCAGAAACTAATTTCTGAAAAGAATGGAAGTCTCTTCCTTTATCACCATGTATTTAAATAATATAAAATTAACACAGTGGTGGAAGTAAGCTAATATATCAATTATATCAACACTAATGCAATAGATAACATACAATGATCTAATTACAGTATGGTTTTACAAGCCTACAATACTGAAAAGAACAGTTTTGATGAAATATGTGTAAAAATTTAAACCTTGTCATTCACACTTGATAATCAAAATCGCTTTGAATAAATAGATAATCTGTTTACTTTTAAGACAATGATTATGTGCTTCTCTCATTTAAACACAACAGTTGAATAATTTTAATGAGTTAAACATATATTTTACAAGCCTGAATACCATCACCAATAAAAAGCCTGTTTACATAAGCCTGACTTTTAACCTATTTTAAGTTGGACAAAAAATAAGTCATGGAATGAAAGTTTATCTTTGAAAAAGATATTTACAAGGATAGGCTTATTATTTTCGGTAACATATATACAATTGCCAT